GGCTTTTTTTTTTTGAAGCCATAAGCCACTCTAACACTATTAAGCCAAAAGCTAGGTTGGAGAAGCTTTTTTTGGTTTATGTGAGGTTGATGTATGACTTCAGCACTAAACTTAGGACATTAAATCTACCGGCTTATAAATCATATAAGCCAATAATTTGACTTAAAAGTCTAAGCCAATAAGCCTAAGCCTAAACAAAGAGGGCCTAAACCCAGCTCCACAACTCTAGTTCATTTTGTGAGAGAGCTCCACCCAACTCCACTTCTAGTTTTGGTGGAGCTGAAACTGTTTGGCTGAGTTCCAACTACAGGAGGTGTGGAGCTCGAGCTCGAGCTGTGCCAAACAGGCCCTTTGTCTAAAACGACAATTATTATTAGTTCGGAAATAGCAGTAGGTTTTGTCTATCAAGATTAATTTTTAGATTGGCCGTCACATCATGTCATGCAGTCCTATAATATAAGAGATTTTGAGTTTTTGACTACAACGTTTGACCACTTGTCTTATTCAAATTTTTTTTGAAATTATTATTTATTTTATTTCTGACTTACTCCCTTCGTCCCAAAAAAAAGACAAACCCTGATTTCGGTGTCCAACGTTTGACCGTCCGTCTTATTTAAAAAAATATTAAAAAATTAAAAAGATAAGTCACGTATAAAGTATTAATCATGTTTTATCATCTAACAACAACGAAAATAATAATTATAAAATAATTTCATATAAGACGGACAGTCAAACGTTGGCACGGGAACCCACAGTTTGCTTTTTTTTTTGGGACTAAGGGAGTACTTTATTATCAATATTATTTTAAGCATAACTTTTCGTTTTTTATATTTGCAAAAAAATTTTGAATAAGACGAGTGGTGAAACGTTACAAGTAAAAACTCAAAATCTATTATATTGTGGGACGGAGGGAGTATTATTCGAGGGACAACATCAAGATTCGTTCAAAATTAAATGCAACCATATGGGATACATAGGAATTTTTAAATGATGTCATTTAAGGCTCTTTCGTTTCAATGGAAATTCATAAAAATTTTAGAGGATTTTATTTCTATAGGAATTTTTCCTATATAGCTATTTGAATTTAAATCCTATGAAATCCTATGGATTGCATAATGCCATACAAGTTTTGAAGGAATTATAACATAAGATAGATTCTACCTCATGAAAACTTTTCTTTGAGTCTTTTATCTCTCCTCTAGTTCCTATGTTTTTCGTACGGTCCAATCAAACAACCATTCATGTGTTTTTCTCGTGTTTTGCAATCCTTTGTTTTACACTTACATTTATATCAAAATGCTGTGTTTTTCATATTCCTGCGTTTTCTCAATCCTGCGATTCAAAGGGGCCCTTTGCAGCAATTATATCATTTAAAATCAAAGTATTTCACCCTAAAAATCCTCCTATGAACGAAGCTTTGCTATAAATGAAATTCCTTGGCAGCAATTATATCATTTCAAAGTTATCGTAAGTGTTTTTTTAGTGTTTTTTTCAGTGTATTGAGGTTCTTTATTTTTTTCTATTAATTCTTTTATTAATCCAAAGGAGATCTAAATATTTTGGTTGCATGCTTGCGGCTGATAAGCTATAGCGCAAGCGATGGAAGACCTAATTGCCTATACACAAGCGCACTGCAAACAGATCTTGTGGCTTAGTTATGCACACAATTAAGCAATTTCACTCTACCCATGTATGATGGCTTGTTTCACAATTAGCATTTGGATATGATTTAAAATACCATCCCAGGAGAAAGCATTGCAAGAAGATGTGTTGTGCGGTTGCTATCTAGGACTAGGAGTTTCCCTGTTCTCTCGTGTCGATCGAGCAATGCATGCAGAGGGTAGGGTGAGAGCGCCCAACATGGGAATCAAATCATTATGGCCACCACGGCCAAGATTGAACAGATACTGTAAACAATGAAAAACTGGCAGCTTTTTCGTCTATGGTGCGTCGAGTCAATGAGGGAGATCAAGCGTAGGAGTAGCTATACCATTGTGCAGCAACACTCACCTGCAATATCCAATCCACTACCGTGTCGGGAATTTAAGCTGCAATTATTATCCTCCGCTGCCCAGAGAGAAAGATGTGCATCGTGCAAGCTTGTAGAGCTTGTAGGAGTACTCCGTATGCTTGGAAAGGGAAGAAGCACTGCAGCAGTAATCCTACTGCTGCTGGAGAAATGCTTGCCCAACAGCACAAGGGTCAATTCATATCATGCCAAGAGATCCTTTCGATGATGGCCGGGAGATTTTATGCCCAAACAAGGCAACCGGGCGGAGCGTGAGAGGTGGAGAGCGTATAGTGGCGCAGCATCGAGTGGTAGTAGAAGCAGGCTAGCAGCAGCGATCCATGCATGCCGCGTCCCAGGACGCGCAGCCCCACAGTTCTGCATGCGCCATGATGCCGTTCTCTATCCCTCCATCGCTCGCTTGTCCGGCCTCCTCCTTTTGATCTCATCATCGGCAACTATAGTTACATTGCTGCTCCTACCTAGCTAGAGTAGGAGGGGAGAAGAGATATCCTGGGCATGCATGCATTGTTGGCTTGGCTAGGTGCTTGTGGACCTTTTCCAAGCTGAAAAAGCTAAAAGGGTTCTCTACTTCTCTAGCTTGGGGATTTTGGGATGTTCTTGGCAGGCTTTGCGGGAGAACTGCTGGTAGTGTTGACATGCCATGGCAAGGGCGAAAGCGATGGCTTGATTCACTGAGCGCCGTGTATTGCATGGATTGTCTGGGCCTAGCTAGGTTGCAACTTTTCTAGTAGCTGGACAGTGGATTTATTGATCATCTCTCTCTCTCTCTCTCTCTCTCTCTCTCTCTCTCTCTCTTCTTTTTTTTTTGGCAAGACACCAAGGCAAAGAGATTTATGCTAGCTAGCTCATCACAATACCAATGATCGAGCACCCACACTCAGGGTATGTCTTTTTTTTAGACGGAGGAAGTATTTACTGTCATACCGCAGAAAGAAATTGTGGGTTCCGGCCGGTCATCATGCGTAATTCAAGTACTCCATATTCAACACAGCAAGAGGAACTTGTAGTCTTGTAGACAGCTTTGTCAGCTGTTGCAGCAGACGACACGGATAATGAAGAGGGAGACGGGTATCTAGGGGAAGAGACGACCAGAACTGACCTGGGCGGAGTGAGTCCTGGTCCTGGTCCATGAGTAGATGGAAGAGGTTAGCTAGAGGCAGACTGCGCCACCCCAGCCATCTGCTCGGCCACCGGCCCATCGTCGCGCCCACCGCGTCCTTCGCTCCTCCTCCGCCACCGGCCGCCGCAGCCGTCTCCACATCGTCGTCTCATGAGAGATTGGGTGGTTTCGGAACGGTGTACCGACGAACATGCGCAGTGCTCCCCGTACCCTAGTCATCGTGGGCCACTTTTGTTAGAACGACTTTAGAGAAGCATGGGCTTAATGGGCCGCGTGGGTTGCCCTAGGCTGCAGCCGATAGGCTTTCTGCAGGGTCACGCTCGGCCTGTTTCTAGTGGGCCATGTGTAAAAGGTTGGGCTGTCCATGGTTTTCGAAAGGAAAAAGTACACCAAAGGTCCCTCAACTTGTCATCGGGATAAAAAATGTCCTCGAACCGCAAAACCAGATATAAGAGGTCCCTTAACTATACAAAACCGGCCACAGTAGATCCCTCGGCGGTTTAGATCCCGGTTTTATTCTACGTGGCTGCTGAATCAGCGTGGGCCCCACGTGTCAGCCTCCTCTTTCTTTCCCCTCTTCTCTCCCTTCCTCTTCTCCCTCTCTCTTCTCTGGCTTCTTCTCTGGCTCTGGGCAGGCCGGCGCCGGGGCGAGGCGGGGGGGGGGGGGGGGGGAGGGGGGGAGGTCCGGCGAGGCGAGGCGGGAGAGGAGGTCCGGCGGCCGACGACGTGGCGGCGGCGGCGGCGGCGGCGGCGGCGAGGGGAGCAAGGTGGATTGGCTGGAGCGAGGGGAGCAAGGCGGAGCTGGTGGGAGGCATCGAAACCGTGGACACCGGCGGCGACGGCGCCGTGGTTACGCCAGGGAGCTGCGGAGGCGAGGGAAGCATTGGATTAAGACTCACGGGAGGCGGAACGGCGGATGAAACTGGCGCTTCCGGCGGTGGCGAAGGCGCCGTCGTACGCGGCGATGGCTTGGACGGCGACGACAAGGTGGGCGAGTAGTCGATCCAGGCATTCACCATCCTACCATTGGTGAGCTCAACCCTGGCGCCATCAAGATCGACAACAGCGGCGGACACCATAATCCCAAGATCCAATCCCACACGATTCCCATTCACATCCCCGAACTGCACATCCATGGCAGGAGAGCGGCGGCGGCGGCGGCGCTGGGTTCGTTGGCTTCTTGGCGTCGACGTCTTCGCCGCCGCTGTCGTGCCAAGAAAACTTGCGTTTTCTCCATGGATTCGGCGTGCTCGAGCTCGACGTCGGCTTCCAAGCGGGAGGATGCAGCGAAGTTGACTTGGCGTTGACAGGGATGAAAGAGATGGACTCGCCGGGGCCGACGGGGAGGTTTCCGACCTCGGGCGTCGGCCATGAGCTTGGTGCCCTTGAGGAAGAGGTGGAAGTCAGGGGAAACCAGCGCGAGAGTGAAGGAGGAACGGAGCGCCGTCCTGAGGTCGCTGACGGTGGCGGAGGCGGCCTCCTCACCCTCGCCGCCGCCGATGCCCTCCCCTGCTCCCGCGTTGTCGTCGTCGCCGCCGCCTTGCTCCCCTGATCCCGCGTCGTCTCCGCTGCCGCCGCCGCCAAGTCGCCGGACCTCCTCCCCCGCCTCTCGCGGCCTCGCCCCGGCGCCGGTTTGCCCAGAGCCAGAGAAGAGAGAGAGAAGAGGAAGGGAGAGAATATTGGAAAGAAAGAGGAGGCTGACATATGGGGCCCACGTGGGTCCCATGCTGACTCAGCAGTCACGTAAGACAAAACTGGGATCAAAACCGCTAAGAGACCTACTGTGACCGGTTTTGTATAGTTAAGGGACCTCAGATATCTGGTTTTGCGGTTCGAGGACGTTTTTTATCCCGATGACAAGTTGAGAGACTTTCGGTGTAATTTTTCCTTTTCGAAAATTCGGTTCAGCGAAAGAAAAGGAAATTAGAGAGAGAGAGAGAGATTTATTTTTTTCCCTGTAATCAAACAAGTGCCTTCTTGTCAATTTAAAATCCTTTCCGTGTATAAAGAAATCTCTGAATTCTGATACAAAACCACACGAGAACAGAGAGATCTCCCGTGTACATCTCTGCCCACGACCGTGGTGGAAACGACCTCAACTTCTAACCGAGCAATCGTATGGATCCGGCCATAGTTTATTATTAGGTGGAAGAGATCAAATCACATCATTACGTTTGCAAACTGCCGAATAGCTTGAAATTTCTTTTTGGGCGCAATCACAGCAGAGCCAATTCCCTGACGTTGACAGGGCTGACGAAAGTCCGGTTGCCGGTGAAGAGCGTCTGCGCGGCGATGGCCGACGCAGCCTGCGTCGGGTGGTTGGCATCCCAGAACAGGTGGTCGTCGCGGTTGTTGCACAGCGGCGCAGTCTCGTCGCACCCGAGCGCTCCAAACGGCCCCGACCCACAGCACCCGGACTCCAGCTCCGTGAAACCTACAGGGACAAATCAAGAATCCATCGATCAGGCTCAAGGTAGACTCACACCATCAAGACAAAGACATTAACGTGTCCATGGGCCGTTTGATTACTCCAGGCGTTCGTGCGCGGGTTGGCGAAGATGAAGGAGACCATGGCGAAGGAGTCGCTGAGGGAGTAGGCCATGCTGGGCAGCTCGTCGGCGAGGTCCCGGAGCGACGCGGCGAGCGTCGGGTAGGACCGCAGCGAGAGGGTGTTGATCGGGCCGTAGCATCCGCGCGTGCCATCCTCCGACAGCCGGCGGGCCCGCTGCGACGGGGTGCAGCCCAGCGGCGTGATGCTGACGACGCTGAACTTCCTCGCGCCTAGCCGGTACAACGCCCTCACGTAAGACCTGTACGCCGCGGCGAAACCCAGCAGAAACTCGCGGTCGTCGCCGTTGCCGCCGGACAAGGAGTACTCGAACATGTCGTTGCTGCCGGTGCTGATGAGGAAGATGGACTTGGAGAGGAGAGTGTTGGTTGTTCTCGAGCCTGACAGCTTCTGCATCATCGCCACCACCTTCGAGAAGTACTGCACTTGCTGGAACATCGGGATTACATCCCCGGCCTTCAGAAAAACAAGTTCGTTTCAGCCCGGGCGGCACGGTCATACGTGTCACGTGTCATATGGTTCAGAATTTTCAGAATAATAACGTGTGTTACTGATTTGTTCAAGTTAAACAAACCCCTTGGCCGGTTTTGTCACCGAGGCCTGATCCGCCTGATGCGAAGTTGATGCCCTTGTACATCTGCGAAACGATGGTCTTCGCTGTCAGCGACAGGTACGCCGGTGGGCTCATTGGGAAGCCGAGCTGCTGAGCTGTTCATCATCGAAGCGTGCCACGCGGCACATGCTGGTTAGTCATCTAAATAGAGGGCACCATATATTCATCTGGGATCGTACGCACCTAGCTGGTCTGCCAAGTTGTAGCCATTGCTGAACCGGCCGGTCGGCGTCGAGCCGGTGAAGTCCACGCCGTGCTTGGGGTAATTGGCTCGGGCCTGCTTGGTGATGTTCAGGTAGTTGTTGTTGCCCACGTCAACCGTCGAGTCGCCGAACACGAAGACCGCGGGGGCAAGCTGTGTCGCCTCCGCCGCGACCCCAAGCAAGCACAAAGCCACCAGCACGTATGAGAAACTATGGCTGCCCATTGGCACACCTGCTCTCTGCTCTCTGCTCTCCTCAGCTTCGGGTGATGGATGCTTCAGCCTTTGTGACCGTAGATATATATACAAGAATATGCACCAGAAAGAAATATACTGTCGATTCTCGAATATGATCACCAAAGCACCAACTTGTTAATTCAATTGCCGTCCACGTCCATTCTGTATTGCTGTTCATTCTCTAGCGCAATCAAACAAACTGGTGTTTTCACCCTCTGAAGAATTCCATTTGGCCTGCAGATCGGTAACCTGGAGTGGCAGTGGTGAAGAGCCGAGACGGCGACTTCAGGACAGATACACAACTGGCGCAAGCTGAGGACATACCAACTGGGACCAAGAACGGCATGGCCGGCATATGTGTATGTACCTACATGTTTAGAGTTTGTATTCCGATTTGGCACCAAGTAAGCAGCTGCGATGTCCTTGGCTCATCCGCTCCAGGCTCAAATTATCCCGACTTGGGAACACAAACACCGCAAATACCAACAAGGGCAACAATAATAACGGAGATGACATTTTGGTATGTGTATCCAAACTACACCACCGCCTAAAGCACAAGCCACTGATGAACACAGCCCAGCATATCCTACGCACCAATATCACCAGACAAACAGACACATAGTCGGCGACGTACAACAATTAGTAGTACTACGTTACACGGTGACACTGCCACGCTCTAGCTAGTGCTGGTCATCCACCAGCTGCCTGAAATTTATCGGCGCAGCGAAGCGGACCGAGCCGTTGTATATGGCCGCGGCGGCGATCTTGGACGTGGCGTGCGTCGGGTGCAGCAGGTCCCAGAAGAGGTAGTCGTGCCGGTTGTCGCACAGCGTGGCGTTCGGCGTGCACCCGGACTCGCCGTTGAACTTGCCGGAGCCGCAGCAAGCCGTCGTGACCTCCTTGAATCCTGCACACCAATGCCGTGTCACGAAACTCTGAACCTTGCGTTGGTCAGAAATCCGAAACTGAAGCGTAGAATGTTCAGATACCGAGTCGTTGGGGATGCTTCATGATGCTTTGCACCACGGCATGGGAGCTCCCGATGGAGTACTTGAAGCCGCTGAAGCTCACGCTGAGGCCGTGCATGGCGTCCTTGACTCCCTTGTTCAACCCACGGGCCAGCTCGTTGAGGACGTCGATGCAAGCGCCCAGCGGTTGCAGGCTTCTCGGGTAGGGGCAGCACCCGATCGGCGGGACGTCGATCACGGCGAACTTCCTCGCCCCGAGAACGTACAGATCCTGCCGCGCTCACGCGTCAACTTTCAGTTAGATTCTTTGTGTTTCTTCGCCGTAAAATTGTGTGATGAGAGACAAGCGAAAGGTGGTTTTACCTTGACATGATTTGTGTAGAGCGATACGAGATTGGTGACGAACCGCTGCATCTCCGCGGACGACGGCGTGCTGTTCGCGGAGAAGAAGGCGAAGATGTCGTTGCCGCCGGTGCTGATCAGGAACAGGGATCTCGACAGCACGGTGTCAGCGGCTTGCTGGCTGATGCGTGCTGAGATGTTGCGTTGCACGGCGGCGAATTGCTGCACTTGCTTGCTCATTGGGATGATGGATTGACCCTGCACACACGTGTTTCGTCGTCATCAGCCGGTGTTCAGCGAAAAATCGTGCAGTGGCTTTGGGTTTATGCCGACGTGCTTACTGTTGAGTCGAGAATGCCTGATCCTGCAGAGGCAAAGTTTGTTCCCTGGAGCCCCCTGAACAATGGGTTGCTGGTTTTGTTAGCCACGGCGAGGAACGGTGGGGGGCTGCGCCTGAATCCCATGTTAAGAGCTGACAGAGGTTGAAGAATATTGTGATCCTCGAGATATACAACAAAAATGCAAGCGCTACTCCGTGCTCGTGGCTTACACATTCCCCATAATAATACTAACTATTAGAGCAAGTTTAATAGTATAGCCAACTACTAGCTTCAATTTATTTATAGCCAATCTAATAGCTCATTCATACAATAGTTACTTATAAGTATATACTACACCATTAATATATGGTCCCACCTCTCATATGCACAATGTATTATAGTCCATGCTGCAACTGGCTACAAGTTTATAGCCCGTCTTCTTTATCTCTCTTCTCTTCTCTTCTCCATATGTGCTTACAACTGACTTGTACCCTGCTATTGTACTCGCTCTTACTACTATAGAAGCAATGATCCCGATAAAGCCTAACTAACATGAAACCATTATTCATCCATATGTCAAACCTTTACTGATCAATCTCTAACTGTTGGAGAAGCATTATAGATTGGAATTCGATATTTAACCATTCCTGATCGGAAAAGTTAGCGACATGTAAGCAATGGTTCTCAGCTGAGAAACATTACATATCAGGCAAGAAGAGTACATGACGAAAACACCTTCCTTCTCCCTCTAGGCCACAACACCATCCTTCTATTTAATGCATGGCCAAGGCCCTTCTTGGTCTCTTCCATGGCCAATGAGCCTAGGTCCGCCATGCTTCTTGCCCTACCCTCCCCACCAGTGACCAAACCCCTCATGTCAAAATATATAATGAACGACATACGCTTTGAGAAAGTCCTTTTAGCACCTAGGCTAGCCACCGCAGGTTTGGTGAGGAAAACAATACCATGAGAAGAAAATATAGTACGCATCGCGAAAACGATTATGCTACAGACGCGCTAAGCGCAACTACATTTAGATGTAGAAAAACCGCATCTAGACAACATAAAAAAAAGGAAAAACACCTATAATATTATTGTAATAGGATCTTCGAGATCGACTCGGAACAAAGCGAAATGTGTGTGTATTGTATTCATCATACCTGAAATCTTAAGATGCTATCACATTGGAAAATATATATATATATATATAATAGTTACAAATATTAATTTTATTATCGATGTTGATGTTTCGCGTACGATTAAATCTTTATTTTCTTTTATAAGGCATTTGCCAGCAAAAAATGTATTTGAATTTTTCAAATACGTGCGCTGCTCACATTATCGTATTTTGGCATTATCTCCCAATCTCCATCCCAAACAGTCCCAACGCTTAAAAAGGCGATCGCATGACCTCGATGTTGGACCGTACGTCAGATCGTGTCTGCTGTAGATTTGTCATGTGTGCCGTAGATTTTGGTACCAATTCGGACATGCAATGAGTGCGTGGTGGCCCGGATCAAGGCTAGTACATGCAAGCGGGTCAGCCATTTATGTGCGACAAGCGCCAAGTCTCGAGTGATCGGTCCATTCAGCCGCGCCCGCCTGCCAACAGCCGGACACTGCCACTCTTTGCAAGCATCGCTTCCCAAAGCCTGTGTGCCTGCGCCCCGTGCGGAAGTGGAGCAGCAGCGAATTAAATTTGAAAAATACTGTTCATTCAATTTTATTTTTAAAAATATTTAGGATGTAATTTATTTTTATAGAAATATACAGTCGATCTCATACAACCGAAAATAAAAATAATATAGGGGTGACATCAACGACGGTATCGTGGGGCGACCGCACGACCGCGCGCTGTCGCAGGAATGACGAGCGGTCTCGCTCATGCAGAGAGCGACACCATCCCAAACTCCATTTGGTTAGTGACTAATGATCTAATTAACTATTTAACTAATAATAATTAATGATTACTTAATAATTGCTAATCATAATAATTAATCACTAATTAACCATTTTGAAATCTGGTATCGTTCTTTCATTTCGCAAGACCGCGCAGTCTCGCGCGATACCGCCCGCGAAGTCGCACCACCTCACATTCGCATAATGATTGTGCAAGATCAACGGTATAATTTTTTTAAAAAATAAATCTCGAATATTTCTAAAAATAAAATGAATTAACAATATATTTTCAAATTTAATTCGGGCAGCAACGAGCCAACTATCGATTTAAGCATAGGCGACCTCTGGAATGTGTGCGCCACAGTGGCACACTGCCCTGGCGTTGCGCACTTCACAGTTCTGAAGTATGGGGTTCTTCTTCAAAACATTTTTTATGTTCTATTTACTCCCTCTCAAAATATTGTTATATTAAGATAAGATATGATCCATAAAACAAAAACAAATCTAAACATACTCTCCGTAGTTTTTTTTTTTACAAAGGTAGTATGGCACAACCTTTGTTGGTTTTTTTTGGGACGGAGGGAGTATGCGACAATCTCTCCGTTTTCAAAGCAATTTCCACTTCTTGCCTTCGGTAATTGGACCGCGGAAATAGTATAGAGACGAAGACTTAATCGTCTCCAGTCTTCACCCCTACTCAACTCTAGCACCGTTACAAAACTTGCAATGCCGAAGTTGACAAAAAACATGCAGAAAAAACGAAACAATCACCGGCTATATACGTGGTTGTCAGATATGCAACGATGCCAGCCGCTACTATACCGCGAAGTGCCGAAGTATACTCGCATCGCATGGCAAGCAGAGTCGCGAGGCAATACAGCACAGGAAAGACGGGCGGCGAAGCTGTACGTACCCAAGAAGTCGACGCCGTTGTACCCGTTGCTGAACCGGCCGGTGGGCCGCGACGTGGGGAAGTCAATGCCGTTGTGCGGGAAGTTTGCCCGCGGCACGGCGGCGCCGGTCAGGTAGTTGTTGTTGCCGACATCGGCCGTGGAGTCGCCGAACACGTATATCGCCGGCACCTTCGCCGCCGCCGCCGCGGTGATACAGATGGCCACAGCAACAAGCGCAATCGGCGGTAGCATCTGTCCAGCCATGCCGGACTGCGAGGTGCAGTCCGCTGGCTCTGGGTGGGGGCTGAACGGCAAACCTATCCCTTGTTTGCTTTTGGGAAAGGGAGGGGCCGCGACCGGAGCGGCAATGGCGCACTTTAAAGGGCGACGATGGCGAGCTGCGTACGGCCAACGCCTTTTATTGAGACCGGCAAGGCGTGGCACAGCACTTAGACCAAGTAGTAGTACAAAGTTCTTTACTTGGCTTAGCTTTGGTAAAGAGAGATGTGAATGTGACCTGGTCACCTGGCTATCGCGCAAAACGTTGCTCCTCCTCCTGGGTTGGTCATGGGGGTCTCCTGGTCGACCAGGAGACAGTCTACTACTCTCGTACTCCTACACGGGAAGAGTAACTGGATATACAGCGAAGAAAGTCGATCGATCAAGGTATCCTACTATCCTGGCTCCTACATGTACTTGTGACAAAACCAAGAAGATCCCTCAGTCTACTTGTCCAGCAAACCCCGTCAAATTTACTCGCCACGATCTCATGCTCCCTGGTGGTCCTACAGGCGAATTATATCGGCATGATGTTCTAAGTGCCTTTGGATACTCTGTCTCTCAAGAGTAATTACTGCTACTTTTCACAGAAAATCGATCCCCGGGAGGCCGGGACTGAGTGGGGGTAACTTAGCTTGATCAGAACCGATTACTTGGATCAACCCCGTTGTCCATAGGAACATATTCTACCAACCACTCGATGCATTTGTACAGGCAGGAACCTTAACACGTCTACAAGCCTTGAAGCATAGAGAAAGGCAGCCGGAATCCAATGATACGGTAATTACTTTCGATGTTTGCATTTGATAATGCTCCAGTGGGATGAATAGGCAGCCTTATGGCTGGGCACACAAGTTTGCGCTGGCCGATTCTTCTACGCTTAAATAAGCACCCAATAATTATATCTTTACGTTTAGTTCTTTTCATACTGTATTGTTCTTACCATCACTTACAACTGAAGCTAGCCTGCCAGATGCACCTTTTTTTGCCCAGGCAGAAAAAGAAGATCCCATGCACAGCATGGCTTTTTTTCAATCTTTCTCCTGTTGAAAGCAACGAAAATAAAACGACAGCAGTGGGCAGCGCAACCTTTTCCTTTTGAGACTCGGGCAGTAAGAGCAGGTACAATAGCATGCTATAAGCCAGCTGCAAACATATTTAAAGAAGATAAATAAAGAGAGAAGAGCAGTGGGCTACAGATTTGTAGCCAGCTGTAGCACGGACTCCAAGACATAGTGTGTGTATGACAGGTGGGACCAGGTATTAATATTATAGTATATAACTATTGTATAAATGAGTTATTAGATTGACTATAGATGAATTAGAGTTAGTAGTTGGCTATACTATTAAACTTGCTCTAAGAGCACCCGCAATGTTAAAGTAAGGTGCTATCTATAAAACATGTATCTCTCAGCAATAGACTAGATTAATAGTAAACCATCTCAATAGTATGTCTACATGGGTATCTATAGCTCTCTAATACATTGTCTCGTTTTTCTCTGTATACTATCTCCAGGTTAGTAGATAGCTTTGTTCTCTCTCTTCATTTAATCTCTTTCAAGTAGGAAAATATGTTGATATGGATCTCTTAGAGCCTGTAGATAACTATCTCTCTTCATTTAATCTCTTTCAAGTAGGAAAATATGTTGATATGGATCTCTTAGAGCCTATAGATAACTATTGTGGATGCCCTAATCAGTCTCCGCTCACTTTCAGATTTTTCTGACAGCTGCACGAACACCTTTTCACCCGTTTACCGTGCCACTGCAGAGGTTGAATGATTGCATCACTTCTTTTTTTTACTGTGTGCAAGTAGCTATTCTCCAAGACGTACGCTAGCGATATGGTGGTTAGTACTCGTAGTTTAATCCTTTGATCGAGTTGGCACCACGAGTGCAGAGAGTACTTAAGCGGGATCTTTGCAAACTCTAGTTTATTGCGCCTTTTTTTCTCCACTCCCCAAAGGCACATAATCGTATCCACCAACTTGGTACTAGAACTCTCGTCTTTTTCATCCTTCCTACTAGTAGTACTATTTTCAATTCTACGTGCAGGCCAGAGCACTCGATTCGTTGATCACGCACGCGCGACAAGCCTCGACAGTCGACAAGTGCACCGGCACACGGTCGTACGATTTCCAGTATGTCTCTCTCTGTATCTTCTCGCATCTAGGAGTAGAGCTCTAGGCCGTCGTAGGATCGCGTAGAACATGGGCTGCTTTGGCATCAACGTGACCATGAGGCCCAAGAGCGCTGGCACGGACGAAGTTACCAGCCACCACGTCGTTTTCTCTCCTCTGTTCCTTTGCGCGCGCGTGCGGGAGCGCGTGCAGGCTCGTGTACCGTGCGGATTCCGTCGCCAAGAGGTTTGGTACATGACACGCTGGGGCGTGTGTTTGGTTGGCATGTTCTCAAACCCGCATTGCTGCTTGAGCGCAAGCGCCAAAGTGTACACGCTTGTTCTGTTCGCGTACGCTGCAATATCCGTCTCTCGGAGAGGAGGCCCAGATATTGTCTTCTCTCTCACTTCTCGATTACAAGGCCCATCCAAAGATGGATGGCCCAAGAAAATATTACGCCTTGCCAACTGAAAAGCCCATAAGAGTTTCAAAAGAAGCCCATGAGAACAAGGTCCGCCAGTCAATCCACGTACCAGTTGGCTCGCGGTGTCTGTTACTCTCGTTTCACACTGGCCCGCAATGCACACTACCAATGAACCAAGAGCGGACCAATACATGAGGCACATGATTGAGAAGATCTAGTAGAAAATGTGATCACAATGCAGTGTACCCCAGTAGAGTAGTACAGTACAACTGTACAAGGCAACAATATATTCTGGGCAGAAATCATTAATACCAAGGCAGAATGCCCAGCCCAAAACCAATACAAGAGTGCCAATAATAATTAAACAAACTCAACATCTAGTACTTGACTATAGCAAACTGAAGCCCGTACCCCACACGAAACACAAACTTCGATCACTGATCGGGCTTCGCTGACCAGGCCTTGACCAATCTTGACACGAACTTAACAAAGCTGCAGTGCAGAAAAAGCACCAAACTAACACACGCCAAACACTTCCAAATTCCAACCATGGCCTGGTCTCACACACGCCCCAATTAAGCGCTGCTCTTGTGCTCGCCGGTGGCGGCGGCGGCGGTCTTGTCTTCCTCGCCGGAGCCCTTGTGGTAACCGGGCAGTTTCTCCATGATCTTGCCCAGTATACCCTTCTTCTCCTTCCCATCCGGGCTGCTCACTTCCTCTGTAGCCGGCGGTGGGTGTGCTGGCGCCGGAGTAGTGGCAGGAGCAGCCGGTGAGGCGGCCGGCGGCGGCACAGCAGTTGCGTCTTCCGGCTTCTTGTGGCCGCCGGGCAGCTTCTCCTTGATCTTGTCGAGGAAGCCCTTCTTCTCCTCCTCGGGTGCACGTGGCAGGGTCGCCTCCGTCTTGGCGTGATCACCCTCGATCTTCTCCACGGGGACGGCGGTGTCGTGGTGGTGATCGCCGTGAGTCACCACGGGAGCAGGAGCTGGCGTGGGCGCGGCCGTCACCACGGATGCAGGCGGAGCCGGCGCGGGGAAGCCCGTCGCCGCGGGCGGAGGAGCATGCTCACCGGCATGGTCCTTGTGGCCGGGCAGCTTCTCCTTGATCTTCTCCTTGAGCCCCTTCTTCTTCTTCCTCTTGACCACCTCGCCGTTGTCATCGATCACCTCCTCTTCCTCATCACTCGACTGTTGCACACAACGATTAAAGGTCATGAAACCTTCTATAATTACTAAAAAGTCTGTAACTAATTAAAGCTAGATCATGCATGTGTGCACTTACCGAGCTGGAGCTGGAGCTGGATCGGTGCAGCTTGGAGAGGAGGCTCTCCTTCTTCTCGCCCTCGGCGTGGTGCTCCTCCTTCTTTGGCTCTTCCACGGAGACCTTCTCCATGCCGGTGACAAGCTCCTCCTCATGCTTCTTCTCCTCCGGCTGATCGTCCTTCTTCCTGCCAAGGAGGTTGTCGAAGAGGCCCCTGTCCTTCACCTCCACCTGCTCTGCAGCCTCGCCACCCTGGTGGCTCTCCGTGTTCCTCTCATCCTCCATGATCGATCGATGGATTCAGCTAAAGCCTCTCGAGAACTAAAGTAATCAAACAACAGATCAGCAAGAACTATTCGCTCTTGACTTGTTTGAGCTGTGACGAGTCGCTTTTGCTTTCGGATGAAGAAGGTGGCGAGGCAGATGCCCTCCTTATATAGCGGAGGGGATCGAAAGGTGCGGCGTTTGTATCGTACGTACGCGTAGGCGACGCGAGGACAAGAAGCGTGGGCGGGAAATGGCGACGAGATGGGGGGCAGGCAGAGGCAGGCAGCGGGTGAGCCAGTGGCGCCGCGACGCGTGTCGGCAATCGCGTGGGGCGGCCGGCTGGTTCCGACGTGGCGGTGCCTCGGGACGGGTGGACGCATCGGGAGAGGTCGGCGCCATGTGGAGCCAGACGGCCGTGTCACCGAGGGAGAGGAGGCGTGGGCGGCGCGTCCGCCTCTCCGCTCCCTCTGCTTCGAGGCCTCGACGCCTACGCGACGAGACACTTGGCTTCGGGCGTCGCTGTCCGTCAATTTCCTAATCGATTTTTGGTTAAGTGATGAGCGGAGCGATCCATTTAGGAACAGTAACGTAAGCGTTTCTTGTTCGGATACGATTCGTCTTAGTGCGCAGCAGTAGCGATAGATTAACATCAGTTTTTTTCCATCGGATTCTCATCCCTTTTTCCTCTTTATCGGCATCATCGCGGCCAATTTTTCTTCTCTCCCAGCAGAGGAAGGAAGAGTCTGTGATCGCTTTTGTGACGAGTTGGGAGCGGGACACGGCTCGAGAGCGACGGCACCGCGCGCGCGGTGTCTGATTAGGACGACGGGAGAGATCCAGAGACCTGGACGGTGACATATGGGGTCCGTAGATCAGGGTCCCACTGATCCGTCTTTCACAGCCTAACAAATCGGGTCTTGGTTTGGTTGGTGGATTTGGTCGGACGGGATAAGTTATCCCTGTTGATCACACTGATTAATTTGCCACCCCCAGATCGAGTCGTCCGGGGCTTCTCTAATTTCCAGCCAGTTCTTTTCCTTTTATTTTTCTTTCTTTCCTTCGCTTTGATGATAGCTGATGATAGCTTTCGTGGGGGGAAATGTCGGTGGCATGTCGGCCTTTTGATTTCTTTCGCCCGTCCTGTCCTGCGAAACGCATTGGGGCCACACTCTAGTCTGTAGTACGGGTTTAGCTCGAGTCATTATTGACTTTCGGTACACAAGATGCCGCCCCTAACCATAAGGGCAAGGTAATTTGGCGCCGCGAAATCGTGACGGCCACGAAGAACTCTCTATGGATCCGTTCTTTTCCAGCACTGTTCTGACGTGGAACGGTTGCGAAATCAAGGAGGACGACGTGTTCCAACCGTTGCATCTGGTGTACCACGACGAGCCTCTGGCCTCGCCTCGTCGTGGGGACTCGGGCGAGCCTGCGGATAAACTAGTCGGCGACATCGGATCCTGCCCGATGTGCCCGCGTCCCACGTACGGGGGGAGCCTGGATGGGCGGCAGGGGCTTCGGCTTTTGTACCAGCAAGAGGACACGGGCGCCAGGAATCGATTCAGCCGGGAGGCACGCGAGGGGCGCATCACTTGATGCCAGGCCACATGCCCGCACAGCGCAAATCTGTACTCGCCTCGCTACGAGCTTCAGTTCGGGCTCGTCCCCCGGCGCACGAACCTGTACTAACCTCGTAGAAGTACGTTTTGCCGACTTCGTGGGGGCTAGGGGTAGCAATTTCCCCAGTGGGACCGGGGACCCGGCGGGGACCCGCCCCTACAGGGGTGGGGGCGGGTGGAAATTCTAACCCGCGGGTGCGGCAGGGCGGGCCCCCGCTAATTTTCGGGGGCGGGGGCGGGGACTAAAAATTACCCGCGGATTACCTGTGGGCCCCGAAGTATACAATACATAGAAGGTGGCCCATTAAAAAAATAATCTGTTACTAGCCTGTTTAGTTCCGTGTACACCAAGCCCATTATAAAGAAGGCCACATCTAGCTCAGTTGGTAGCCCAATTTAATGGATGTGTACAACAAAGAAAACCCTAGATGAAGTCACGACTCATGAGCAGCCGATGTTTTGATCGATCCCCAAATTAGCTATCTCAACGAGAGGTCGTGCGCCGCCAGCCGCCAATGTCGGCACCAGGGGGAGGTCACGCGCCGCCAACCACTTCGCCCCTCGCTCCACGACCCTTTTCACAGGCTCAACACTAGCAGCAGCCGCCATCGCCGCTAAGCCGCCATGTCGCCTCGCTGCTGCGTCGTTTGCGTCATGCCGTCTTGTATCCTCGTCGATCCTCGCCCAGGCGTTGCCCTGCAGCGACTCGACGGCAGCTGTTACCGTCCCATCCATCGTCGCCACAAGCAAGTGTCGGCGGCCTGCCTCCGCCTCCCCAAGCCGACACCATCCCAGCCACAACCGCTCCCAATCGGTGTTGCATCGTCGTCGTCCTAGCTGGCACCGGCCGCTAGCCCCGCCATCGCCGCCCCTAGCCAGCACTACATTGTTGTTGTCGTCCCTAGCCAGCGTCGGCGGCCAGCCCCAACCGTCGCTCCGTCGTCACCGCCAACATCTATCCCTGCCCGGGTGCTTCGAGTCTCCGCTCACCCGGCGGGTCCCCAGCGGGGCTGGGGAAGGGTGGGGTTTTCCACCGTCTAGCAATGCGGGGCTGGGGCGGGGGATAAATGCAGAGAGCGGGGGCCGATCAATCACCTGTTGCTAGCTCCTGCTCAAAATACGGAGTGCACCACCGGCAGATTGGCCGCAGCAACACGAATGCCACGGGAAGAAGTATTGACGAGGTAGGCCGAAACAAGTGGTTAGGATTTCAATTCCAAAAGAAATAAGTTTATTTTCCCTCCCTCCCTCCCAAAAAGAAATAAAATCGACACTAGCCACCACCCTACTCACGCTGTCGCTCTCCACCTACCATGTCTTCTAGGCGTCGACTACCTGTTCTCCCTCTTTCCTCCTGCCGTCCTGCGAGCGCCGGCCAAGCCACGGCCGCCACCTACCCGTGATCTTCAAGGGAAACGAGGAATCCTCATCGAGGATGGAGACGGGGTGGCATAGAGCCCCAGGAAGACGGATAAAGAGGGGCCACATTCCCACTCTGCTGCAATGGCAACGAAATCAGCAAGAAGCCCTCCTCCGAAGGTGGCACTCCTCCACTGCGAGCCGAAGCCAAAGCCACCACCTCCCAATCTACACGCGAAGGGCCCGAAGGCAGATCCAGCTTCACCGTCACACCCTCCCTGCCATGGCCCTCCTTGTCACGTGTGGAACTCATCGTTGGTGCCTTCCCATCTCGTCCGAACTGCGACAGATGGCTATTGTGGCCGGCATCCTCCCCATCCCATGCCACCTCGTGATGTCTAGGCTAGTGGTCGGCAGGAGAGGAGCAAGGCAGCGATGACAATTTCTAGAGTAGCTCCCGGTTGATCCTACCCCAGCTCCCCTACGAGCTCGCTGATGTCGGCCACTGTCTACCTTCCTAGAGACCTCAGCGGCAGTGGAGGTCGATGGGTCCAGCACGGGGAGCTATGTGGACACCATCCACCGCCGATCGACCTATCCAAGAACCGCCTTGCCGGCCGCATCCTCGACAAGGTGTTCGCGATGTAGAAACTCAACAAGCCGCTTGTGCTTGGGAACACGCTCTTCGGGACACTCCTTTCCAAGTTTCATCGACTACGCATCACTGATCTGACTCCGGTTTGGCGAGAATCATAAATAGAGATAAAGGGTAAAGAGGGGGGGTGGGGCGTTATTTTTTTTCTCACTGACATGTGGGATTTATGAGCACCATGTATGACGAAACTGCTATCAAAATGGCCAAGGAAGTCGATTTGCTCTGGTTTTTTAAGATCGGGAATGCATTGTACTCGATATTGCGGTTGAGGGAGACAATTCATCAGCGGCAAGTGTTGAGGGAGGTAAGACAGACTTATTACTTCGAGAAATGCCCTTAGGCTTGTTTAGTATGGTCCAATTGCTGGCCCATTCAGGCCTTGTGCAGACCTATGGGTAAACAGGTCTTGATCTGGGCATTATCCTCTTGTGTCATCCCGTACATGTTAAAAAAAAGGAAAGAGGGGCATCTGAACAGTGTTTCATCCAAAATTGTCCCTTACGCATTTCCTTTCAAAAATCACGCTCCGATCTATAAAAAAAGAAAACCACTTTTATAATCTTATCCTCGGTCCTAAAATATAAGTAGCTTCAAAGAAATATGAGAGAGGAGAGAGGAAGATGACAGAGAGAAAGAAGAGTAGGGGGTTACATGAGAAAGAAGACCATATGCCCTCCACCCCTGCCAAGTTCGTCCAGCATTTTTTTTCCGTTGACACGTGGCCACTCTATTCGAGATATCACAAAATAAAAAAAAATAAAAATAAAAAGAGGCTGTATATATCTGGTTGGATGTACAGGCTGGGTAAAAATTACTCTTCTCTAAAATTAAAAAAAAGAGCTATGGTCGATAAGCATGTAAAAAATTAAATAAAGCAATAAAAAAATTATAATAAATCTTTCACATATGTAATATTACCGATTTAAAAGCTAATGTTAGAGAATAGGTTATGAAAAGTAACTCCAAGATCAACTTAAATTAAGTCTTATAATTTAAAATTCGACTATGATTTAGAGTACTATTTGATCACTAGCAAGCTCTCTCTCGCTCCTTTTGTCTTTTTTTTATTTAATTCAGTTAACTATATTTGAGATGCTCATAGCAGGTGTTCTGAACTTCATTACACGTTTTTTTTATCTGAAGGGCAGGTTTCTCCTAACAAATGACTCCTTATAAACTCTAGTTATTTTTTTTAACAAATACTCCATCCGCTTCTTAATAGATGACGATGATCAAACATTATTTTAAAAGTAAACACCATCATTTATTAAAAAATAGAGATAATACTTCTTTTAGTGAAAGTCTGGTGCTCTCTACTAGTAGTATTATACAAACAGTAGAAATGATCTGCACCGTTATTTCATTAGGGTATGATAAGTACTTTTCTATCATTGAGGTGGCCGCTGACATGTGGGGTCCACGTGAGTCCCACTTATCACGTAAACCAAAACCAGACACTATACTAACAAGAGATTAAAGTTAACATGGCACTATTAGTTACGGGATGGACTATACCTGGTATT